AAAAGTCCAAGGATCATAACTCTGCACAGACCGGAACAAAATTCAAACTTGGTCTTTAACTTGTCATGGTTAAAACTATATAGCAAATATCAAATCAATATCTTTAAGCACGACGAAAAAATGTGTAGAAAACTGAATACTTTAGCTAATTGCAATGTCCATGGACCATGATCTTTAACTTGTCATGGTTAAGCTAAATATCAAATATAAATCAATATCTTTAAGCAGGACGAAAAAAAGTGTGGAAAACAAATTATGTGCATGAATTTTCAAAATCCAAAGACCATAACTCTGCACAAAATCATTAGACTTGAACAAAAGTCTAACTTGATCTGTAACTGGTCATGATTAAACTATATACCAAATATCAAATCAATATCTTCAAGCACATAAAAAATAAATGTGGATAATGTCCACATGTGGACACAGATGATGCCCCCGCTTGCATATCATATAGTTATAAAGGGACATAACTGAAGAACGGTAAAAGTGACACTACCCAAATTTGAACTTGATCTGAGTTTTGTGGTAATAAGCATTGTGTGCAAGTCTCATGACATTTGGTTGAGGCTTACTTAAGTAGCAATTTTTCTATTTGTAAACACGCATAACTCTAGAACGGTTGTGTATAAGATTTTTATAACATTTGGTTGAGACAAACTAAAGTTATAGAACGGAAACGAAAATTCAGCAATTTTTATGTTTATAAAGGGACATTACTCAAGAATGGTAAAAGTGTTGCCACCAAATTTCGTACATAATCTGTATTAATACTCTAATTATTTTTGCTATTTAGTTTCTATGAATCTATTACAGTTTTCAAGATACAAAAAAAAAATGGAAAAATATGTCATTAATGGGCAATAACTCCAATAGTGTTCATGCTCAACTTATTTATAGATCTTGTGTTGCTAATCATTTTTGCTTTTTAAAGTTGCTATTAGCTTTCAAGATTATAAGCAAAAATGAAAACAAATGAGTGCACACACTAAAATGTCTCGCCTGCTTTACTTACCACAATTGATTTAAGTTGATAATTCTGAAGAGAAAGTTTTACTATAAGCATCACAATTACTTAGTTATCTTAACATTATCAATGACTCATGAAACTGAGATCAGGGTCAAATAAGTCAAGCCAGACATGTACACCTTACAATCATTCCATGCATCAAATAAAGTTGACCTTATTGCTTATAGTATCTAAGAAACAGACTTAACCTTGATCACTGATCCATGAAGTGAGGTGGTCAGATGAACCCTTACTGACAAACATGTAGACATTACAAGGGTCTCGTACAAAAATATATCTGTCATATTACTCATAAGTGTTTATTTCATATGACAATAAAACTTTTCTTCAAGCTATCACCGAACCATGAAAATGAGGTCAAGGACAATGGACATATCAGGACACAAACTTCACAACACAAGGTATCTGCATACAAGGTATTAAACATTCAGGTCTTCTACATTCTGAAATATATAGCTTTATCCAAATAGTTTACTTTGTTGCCACTGGATTGATGGCTGAAATGTCTCGCCTTCTTTACTAATCATTGATATTATGTTGATAGTCCTAAATATAAAGCTTTATTACAACTGTCACATAAACTTAACATTAACCAAGTAAACTAAACATTGACCAATGAACCATGAAAATGTGGTCAAGGTCAGATGAACCATGCTAGGCAGGCATGTACAGTTAACAATTCTTCCATACAACAAATATAGTTGACCTATTGCTTATAGTTTAAGACAAGAGTGTACACACTGAAATGTCTCGCCTTCTTTACTAACCATTGATTTTATGTTGATAGTCCTAAATATAAAGCTTTACTACAAGTAACACATAAACTTAACATGATCCAGGAAAATGAGGTCAAGTTCAGATAAACCAAACGAGAAATACATGTACACCTTACAATCATTCAATAAACCAAACATAGTTGACTCTATTGCTTATAGTTTCTAAGAAAGTCTTAACCAAGAAAACTAAATATTGACCAATGAACCATGAAAATGAGGTCAAGGTCAGATGATACCTGCCAGACAGACATATACACCTTACAATCCTTCAATACAACAAATATAGTTGATCTATTGCTTATAGTTGAAGAAAATCAGACCAAAACACAAAAACTTAACACTGAGAAATGAACCGTGGAAATGAGGTCAAGGTCAAATAAAACCTGCGAGACTGACATGTACATCATAAAATATTTCCATACACCAAATATAGTTCACCTATTGCATATAGTATTAGAAAAAAAGACCAAAACTCAAAAACTTAACTTTGACCACTGAACCATGAAAATGAGGTCAAGGTCAGATGACACCTACCAGTTGGACATGTACACCTTACAATCATTCCATATACCAAATATAGTAGCCCTACTGCTTATAGTATCTGATATATGGACTTGACCACGAAAACTTAACCTTGTTCACTGATCCATGAAATGAGGTCGAGGACAAATGAAAATTGTCTGACGGGCACGAGGACCTTGCAAGGTACGCACATACTAAATATAGTTGACCTATTGCATATAGTATTAGAAAAAAAGACCAAAACTCAAAAACTTAATTTTGACCACTGAACCATGAAAATGAGGTCAAGGTCAGATGACACCTACCAGTTGGACATGTACACCTTTCAATCATTCCATATACCAAATATAGTAGACCTACTGCTTATAGTATCTGATATATGGACTTGACCACGAAAACTTAACCTTGTTCACTGATCCATGAAATGAGGTAGAGGTCAAATGAAAATTGTCTGACGGGCATGAGGACCTTGCAAGGTACGCACATACTAAATATAGTTATCCTATTACTCATAAGAAAGAAATTAACATTACAAAAAATGTTGACTTTTTTTTCAAGTAGTCACTGAACCATGAAAATGAGGTCAAGGACAATGGACATATGACAGACGGAAACTTCGTAACATAAGGCATCTATATACAAAGTATGAAGCATCCAGGTCTTCTAGCTTCTAAAATATAAAGCTTTTAAGAAGTTAGATAACGCCGCCGCCGCCGGATCACTATCCCTATGTCAAGCTTTCTGCGACAAAAGTCGCAGGCTCGACAAAAAACAGACCAAAACACAAAAACTTAACACTGAGTAATGAACCTTGAAAATGAGGTCAAGGTCAAATAAAACCTGTGTGACTGACATATAGATCATAAAATATTTCCATACACCAAATATAGTTGAACTATTGCATATAGTATTAGAAAAAAAAGACCAAAACTAAAAAACTTAACTTTGAACCATGAAAATGAGGTCAAGGTCAGATGACACCTGCCAGCTAGACATGTACACCTTACAATCATTCCATACACCAAATATAGTAGACCTATTGCATACAGTATAAGAAAAACAGACCAAAACACAATAAACTGCTTTGCTGAGCGCAGCTGGATACGCCCGCAGAGGTCCAACCCTGAACAGTTGGGGCAAAAATGGACACAATATTCAAGCTTGATACAGGTCTGAATTTGGATTGTAATTAAATATTTGATATATTATAGGTTTCTGAATAAATGTAGTCAAAGAACTTGAAATTGGTTATATGAAAGATTTCTTGCTGTTGTGCAATACACTGTGCTGTTGTGTAATACTTAGTAAATCTGTTGTCCGACTATAAACAAATAAAATCTTATAACTCGGAAACATAAAATCTAAAATTTATAAAAATCAAAAGGGAGCTTACAAAAATAGATATAAACAATTTACCAAAGTTTCAGAAAAAATGCTAAAAGCATTTTTGAGTTATTGTCCAAAAACTGGAAAATCCCCCTTTTTGTAATGAATAAAAACCCAATAAATCGGAAACTTATAGTCTGAAATTTATAAAAATCAAAAGGGAGCTCATGTCGATAGAAATAAACAATTCACCAAAGTTTCTTGCAAATTGGTGAAATTGTTTTTGAGTTATTGTCTGAAAACTGGAAAATCCCCCCTTTTTTAATGAATAAAACCCCAAAACTCGGAAAAGGTAAATCCGAAATTCATAAAAAATGAAAGGGAGCTCACGTCAATAGATATGAACAATTCACAAAAGTTTCTTCCAAATTGGTGAAATTGTTTTTGAGTTATTGTCTGAAAACTGGAAAATCCCCCTTTTTTAATGAATAAAACCCCAAAACTCAGAAATGGTAAATCTGAAATTTATAAAAAAAACGAAAGGGAGCTCACGTCAATAGATATAAACAATTCACCAAAGTTTCATGCATATTGGTTAAAGCGTTTTTGAATTAATGTCCGACATGTTGACAACGGACAGATGGTCTACGGTATACCATAATACGTCCCGTAAACAGGCGTATAAAAACTTAACTATAACCACTGAACCATGAAAATGAGAACAAGGTCAGATGACACCTGCCAGTTGGACATGTACACCTTACAGTCCTTCCATACACTGAATATACTAGACCTATTGCTTATAGTATCTGAGATATGGACTTGACCACCAAAACTTAACCTTGTTCACTGATCCATGAAATGAGGTCGAGGTCAAGTGAAAACTGTCTGATGGGCATGAGGACCTTGCAAGGTACGCACATACCAAACATATTTATCCTATTACTTATAATAAGAGAGAATTAAACATTACAAAAAATCTTAAACTTTTTTTTCAAGTAGTCACTGAACCATGAAAATGAGGTCAAGGACATTGGACATGTGACTGACGGAAACTTCGTAACATGAGGCATCCATATACAAAGTATGAAGCATCCAGATCTTCCACCTTCTAAAATATAAAGCTTTTAAGAAGTTAGCTAACGCCAACGACAAGTCGCAGGCTCGACAACAAAAACTAATTATCAAGCTGCTTCAAGGTTCAACATGCATTGCTTCTGGGTTCTATGAACATGGTCTCCATTTGAAAAAAGAAAATAACCATAAAATATAATCACAGTTTGAACCAACTGATGCTTTGGTCCCAGATATATTTAAAACAAACAACAACAAAAACAAACAATTACTTCCTTATAAAACTTTTATTAAATCTTTGTACAAACACTCAATAATATCACATTCACACAATCTAATATTCATTAACAAACATAATTATCACAAACTATCATCTATAAATGTCACAACTCATTTAAATAAACTAGTCAATTCTGAAGATTGTTTGGTAGCAGCATAAACAATGGAACGACAAACAATTAATACATTTTACCCTAGCAAGATAAAAATGAATTGTAAGGCAGTAAGTAGAATATGTGGTTAATATTGTATATACCAATATACCATCACTTTACATTGTTGTATACAAGAAAATATATTTATAATTGGTAAAAAATCTAAGGTTTAATTTATATCAGAATCATATCACTGATTAACTTTCTAGGATGAAATAGTCTGTTTATACGGGACAAATAATGAAATCTTCACAATTTAGAATCGGACTAGACACATACATAAAAAAGTTTATAAATGCACAAAAAATATTACAGAAAGAATAGTATCAATACATAAATGAAATCTCTTTCATACCAGTAAAAAATTGAGCTTCAGATAAATTCTAGACATTCAGCATATAAACTATCAACTCATCTTAAGTGATTTTGTTCATTTTGTAAATCTATTGAGTCCCTAGTTATACTACAACGTCAGTAGAATTCATCTGAGACTATATCTTTAGGTACTCATTTATTCTTCTTCAGTCATCGGATGAATTTGTTTTTATACTGATCTGTACTATTTATATAATATATTAAAATCCTGATTTAATTTAGATTGACTGCAGATGAATAATTGTCGCCAAGTCTGACTGAACAGCTGTGCTCAACACTCATGTTTTTTTGTTGTTATATTAGTCTCATTGGTCCTTTTGCCTCTGGCTATTGACACAGATTTGGATTTGGTCAATACAGTCAATTAGCACACTTTCGGTGGCAATAAATACTAGTCTATAAAAGGATCTAAATGCTAGCAGACATTAAAATCCTCCCATTCCTCCCATGCCACCCATTCCTCCCATACCACCCATGCCTCCCATACCACCACCTGGCATGGGAGGATCTTCCTTTGGAATTTCTGTCACTACACACTCTGCTGTTGTCAAAAGAGATGCTACACCTGAAGCATCAACTAGTGCTGTTCGTACAACCTGAAAAACACAGTAAACCTTTATTATTAAATTCATATGCAATGAGTTTCTTGTAATTATATTGATATCAAAATTATTGAACCAATGCATCCATATATACTAAACTAAGTCCTGTATACACGTTTTTTAAATTTATTATGAAATGTCTCGCCTACTTTACTACCATTGATTTTATGTTGATAGCCCTAAATATAAAGTTTTACTACAAGTATCACATTAACTTATCATGATCTAAGGAAATGCAGCCAAGATCAGATAAACCATGTTACACCCTAAATATAAAGTTTTACTACAAGTATCACATTAACTTATCATGATCTAAGGAAATTCGGCCAAGATCAGATAAACCATGTTACACCTTACAATCATTCCATACATTGAATATAGTTGACCTATTGCTTATAGTATACAAGAAACAGACCAAACCATGAAAACATTATATTGACCAATAAACCATGAATATGAGGTCAAGGTCAGATGAACCCTGCCAGACAGACGATGTACACTTCACTACAAACCAGTAAAAGTCTGAAATGGCCTATATCTGTACTCGACTGTACTGATTTTTACTCGACCAGTCTGAATTGGTCTGAAATTTACTTGATAATACTCGACTGTAGTCTGAACCATACTTTACAGTCTGAACTTGTACTCGACCTTTACTCGACCAGTACTTAACCATTTTATACGCGTCTGAACCATGCTCGACCTAGTCTGAATCATGCTTGACCTAGTCTGAACCATACTCGACCTAGTCTGAACCATACTCGACCTAGTCTGAACCATACTCGACCAAGTCTTAACCAACTTAGACCTATTTTTTTGTATCTATCTATTGTATTTCATCAATTTAGGAACTGTTTTTAACAACAGCTATTTCCCCTGGCTAGAAATTTGAACAACAATTTGAAATTAAAAATGTATTCAATATAGCATTGAAACCAAAATTTCACAATAAACATAATATAACTTTATCACCATATTCATCAACACTTATATACATACATATATATCACCTTTAAAATAAAAATAAAACAAGCTGATCAAATAATCTCAAAACTGAATTGTGACTAATATCTTCAATGTTATTCAAAATTTTTTGAATGTTTCAGATATATTTTATGGTTACTGGACAATTTTCACCTTTAACTTAAGCCTCGTATAGATTTATGGTGTCAGTCGAGTTAAGTTAATAATGCAGTGAACATTTTTTTTATTAAAATATATATAAAATAGCATATAAAGCAACTTAATAAATTTAAAAAATAACACCTTTGTTTTGTTAAACCAAGAATTTAATATAATCATGATAATAGAACTTCCATAGTAAGCTTTATAATCATTCCATAGATCAAATATAGTTGAAGTATCAAATATAGTATCTTAAGAAACAATTCTAACCACGAAAAACTTATCATTGACCAATGAACCATGAAAATGAGGTCAAGGTCAGATGATACCTGCCAGACAGACATATAAATATAACAATCATTCCATACACCCAATATAAATGACCTATTGCTTATAGTTTAAGAAAAACAGACCAAAACACAAAAACTTAACTTTAACCACTGAACCATGAAAATGAGGTCAAGGTCAAATTAAACCTGCCAGACTGACATGTACATCATAAAATATTTCCATACACCAAAATTAGCTGACCTACTGCATACAGTATTAGAGAAATAGACCAAAACACCAAAACTTAACTTTAACCACTGACCATTGAAATGAGGTCAAGGTCAGATGACACCTGCCAGTTGGAAATGTACACCTTACAATCATTCCATACATCAAATATAGTAGACCTATTGCTTATAGTATCTGAGATATTGAATCGACCACAAAAACTTAACATGGTTCACTGATCCATGAAATGAGGTTGAGGTCAAGTGAAAACTGTCTGACAGGCATGAGGACTGTTCAAGATATGCACATACCAAATATAGTTATCTTATTACTCATAATAAGAGAGAAATTAACTTTACAAAAAATCTAAACTTTTTTTTCAAGTAGTCACTTAACCATGAAAATGAGGTCAAGGACAAAGGACATCTTACAGACAGAAACTTCATAACATAAGGCATATATATATACAAAGTATGAAGCATCCAGGTCTTTTAACATTCTGCAATATTAAGTTTTAAGTAGTTAATTAACGCCACCGTGGCTGCTGCCAGATCACTATCCCTATGACAAGCTTTCTGAGACAAAATCTGGCAAGAATTGTACACATAAGGCAATTTTTCATATAATTAATATTCCCAAGGGGCATAACTCTTTTTAAAAACTTATTTTCGAACTCGTCCAAAACATTGCTATTATTAACCCATGATATGAGTTTCATAAAAATCTGGCAAGAATTGTACATGTGAGAGTGGCAAGAAGACCGGATGGACAAACGTCTGGTATTTTCATGTTCCCCACAAGGGAGACAAAAAAAAGTTGAAGAATATGTATTGTATACTTGATTGGCTAAGTTTTACTATAAAACAAGTCTACGTGAACTTTCTTGTAAAAGAACATCCTTTATCTTATCAAAATCTTCATAAATGTACCACTATTGAATTATTGTCTTCCTGTACACTAATTTGCCAATATTTTCCCATGTGCAGTGACCTTCACTAGGAGACCTCTCGTTTTAACTTCAGCTACCACACAGCGCAAGTGCAAGGGAAAACACGTGATGAAAGAATGTAAACAAACGTGGACTTGAAGATCAAAAAGTAATAACCAATTTTTAAGAACAAATAAAATACACCAAATCGTATAACAACTGTTAAGGAAAAGTTTAAATAACAAATAACGCATTATGGTTAGGTTGTATTAATGTACCTTTGTAGGATCTATGATTCCTAAAGCCATCATATTTCCAAACTGGGCATTGAGAGCATCATAACCAAAATCACCTTCATTTGTTGCCAATTTCTCCAAGATGGCATGTGGTTCTACACCAGTATTCTTGACAATTGTTAAAGCTGGAAGTCTTAGAGATTTCGTTATAATCTCAACACCTGATCAAAGATATGAGTAGCATTAATATTTGTTATTTGACATTATCTACAATTAGCAATAAAAGCTTATTTGTTTTGAACTTCTGGTTGTTTTGTGGTCATCCCTGAGCAAACACTACTGCACTGAACACCAAAAACAAAACCTAACAAAAACCCCATACACTTATTAAAGTTGTAAATAGGACAGCTCATTCAAAGCATTGCATTGTGATCCCTCAATGTTATTCAGGCACAAAAATTATATAATCATTGCTGTCTCTAGTGATTTATATCTTCTAAAGAAAAAAGAAGATTCCCTGTGATGTAATTTTTTTTATATAACTTGAATTTTTATATATTTTGTAAAAGATTTGAATAAATGACCAGTATGCTGATTAGTGTATAGCTGATGGGGCTTTAGTAAATAAATAACCCATCAAATTTTTAATCTTATTAGTATTTTATTGACAAATCTGTACAAAGTAATTATTCCACCAGTCATATTGGATCTAAAACAGAAGTGATTTATTAAATTGCTTACCTATTTTCTGATCTTCATTCTCTACTTTGAGATCCTCTAATGCCTTGACACATCGTAGCAGTGCCACACCACCACCAGGTACTATACCTTCCTCTACTGCAGCTTTAGTAGCATTTAAAGCATCATTTACACGATCTTTCTTTTCATTTACCTCTACTTCACTGGTTCCTCCAATCTAAATCAAAAGATAATTTTCCTGTAAGATATTGCTATATAATACCTTTGTTTTATTTGTTATTAAATTATAGTATCATTACTAGAGAATATTTTCTCCTGTTTAAAAAGATATTGGATAAAACTGAAAATTTTGAGACTTCAAGAAACAAGCTGTTAGTACGCATGAATGAAAAAAAATATTGTACATCTCACAATTGAACTTTCATTTTGAATCGGTTTTCTTTTTTTGGTCTTGCTTCTTTAATTTTTTCACAATCACACTTAGCCACAAACCCACTCTGGATTTATATTGTACAATGAATGTTTTGCAATTATGAAAGTTTACATAAAAAATTATGGCTACTAGCAAAAACTGAAAAAAACAAAAACAAATGAGACTCCTGTCCATTTTTTAACAATGTCAATTGATCAATTTAACCATGAAGATTATTTGACAACGGTGAAAGGTAAATGAACAATTGTGTAACATAAAACAGGTTTTGGAGATTCCTGGAAAAATGAATAAGCAGATCTGTATAGGTTTAACAAGACCAATACCGAGTCTGGACCAGTGTCTCTGCATGCAATTGATTGAGGTAATATGTATACTGATGCATAACGGATCAATGAAGCCAAGAAAACCTTGACATAATTTTCCTTATACAATGAGTGATGTAAAATTACGAAACATTGAAAAACAGGAAATGGCTGCACGACTGATGTAAAAATTGCTTATACTCTACAACATTATGAAGCTGCAGACCCATATAAAATCATCCCCGTTCATGACGGAAAGACTCAAGAGCAGTTACTAGACCTGCTTTTGCAGTTGGGGACCAGGGCTTCCAAAATTATTTTTAGCCAGCCGGACATTTTATATATTATCCCGATTGTAATCCCTTAAGACTAAATAAATAAAAGGCAATTATGGTAATCAGTTGCCGAGTTGGCCATCCGAATGATTGACATTAAAAAAAAATAAAATGCTTCGCTGGGGCGCAGCTTGATACGACCGCAGAGGTCGAACCATGAACAGTTGGGGCAAGTATGGACACAACATTCAAGCTTGATACAGCTCTGAATTTGGATTGTTATTAAATATTTGACACAGCATAGGTTTCTGACACAGTAAGAATGTGGGCTAAGAACTTGAATTTTTGTAATTTACCTATTATGGTCCAATGTCCAAAATCAAAATACATGGTTAGATTCAGCATATCAAAGAACCCCATATATTCAATTTTTGTTAATATCAAAAAAAGTTTAATTTTGGACCCCAACTTGGACAAACTTGAAAACTGGGCCCATAATCAAAAATCTAAACACATGTTTAGATTCAGCATATCAAAGAACCCCAAGAAATCAATTTTTGCTAAAATCAAACTAAGTTTAATTTTGGACCCTTTGGACCTTAATGTAGACCAATTTAAAAAACGGGACATAAAATTAAAAATCTAAATACACGGTTAGATTTGGAATATCAAAGAACCCCAATAATTCAATTTTTGATGAAATCAAACAAAGTTTAATTTGGACCCTTTTGACCTCAATATGAACCAATTTGATAGCGGGGCCCACAAATAAAAAATCTAAATTCATGGTTAGATTCAGCATATCAAAGAACCCCATATATTCAATTCTTGTTGAAATCAAAAAAAGTTTAATTTTGGACCCCAACTTGAAAACTGGGCCCATAATCAAAAATCTAAATACATGTTTAGATTCAGCATATCAAAGAACCCCATATATTCAATTTTTGTTGAAATCAAACAAAGTTTAAATACTGGACCCTATCTTGGACCAACTTGAAAACTGGGCCCATAATCAAAAATCTAAACACATGTTTAGATTCAGCATATCAAAGAACTCCAAGAATTCAATTTTTGTTAAAATCAAACTAAGTTTAATTTTGGACCCTTTGGACCTGAATGTAGACCAATTTAAAAAACAGGACCCAAAATTAAAAATCTAACTACATGGTTAGATTTGGAATAACAAAGAGCCCCAATAATTCAATTTTAGATGAAATCAAACAAAGTTTAATTTTGGACCCTTTTGACCTCAATATGAACCAATTTGATAACGGGGTCCACAAATAAAAAATCTAAATACATGGTTAGATTCAGCATATCAAAGAACCCCATATATTCAATTTTTGTTGAAATCAAACAAAGTTTAATTTTGGACCCCAATTTGGACCAACTTGAAAACTGGGCCAAAAATCAAAAATCTAAATACATGTTTAGATTCAGCATATCAAAGAACCTCATATATTCAATTTTTGCTAAAATCAAACAAAGTTTAATTTTGGACCCTTTGGACTTTAATGTAGACTATTTTGAAAACTGGACCCAAAATTAAAAATCTAAATACACTGTTAGATTCGGCATAACTAATAAATAAATGTGATCAAAAATTTTACAAATCTAATGCGCCATACTGTGCAATTAAAGATTACTTCTTGAAATTTTTCAATATTTGAAATTTGAAAAAAAAATAATATTTGAAGAATAATTCTTTTTAATTTCTGAAATCTGAAATGAGAAAAAATTGACCCCCCACAATTTCTTTTTATCCCCCCCCCCCTTTTTTCCCCAAAAAAATTCTTTCCCTCAAGATATGGTCATAATCTCAATTCAAATTTCCAATGGAGTTGGCAACCATAATTACCCATTTAATTTTACCATAGTGCTAACTTAATCTATTTTATAATAGAATTAAAAATATAGTGTCAAATCTTTCATATGGATTTTTTTGTAAAATAAAATGATGCAACATTTGCAGATATTTTTACTGGTCTTCCTTTATAAATATGCATTTCTTTAAACATAATTTAAAAGCAGTGTAAGGGAAGTAACCAAAATGTTGTATTTGGATTACCTCCCTTACACTGTTTTAAATTATCTTTATTGTTCATTAACCATTACTTTATACATAATTTAAAAGCAGTGTAAGGGAGATAATTTCAATGATGTATTTGATTTATCTCCCTTACACTGCTTTAAATTATGTTTTGTACTAAAGTATTTGTCCATTAACCAGGACAACCTTGTTTTTCCCCCTTTTTTGCCCCTAATTCCTAAACGGTTTGAGCCATAACCCCCCAAAGCAAATCCTAACCATCCCTTTGTGGTATGGAAACTTGTAGTATAATTTCAGAGCGATCCATACACTGTTCCACAGTTATTGTCTGGAAACTAGAAAATGCTTATTTTTGGCCCCTTTTTGGCCCCTAATCCCTTAACTGTTGGTACCATAACCCCCCAAATCAATCCCAACCTTCCTTTTGTGGTATTTAACCTTATGGTAAAATTTCAAAAAGATCCATTCACTTAAACTAAAGTTAGAGTGCGAAAACCAATGTGTATTCGGACGACGACGCAGGACGACGACGACGACGACGCCGGACGACGACGACGACGACGACGACGACGACGACGCCAACGTCATACCAATATACGACCACAAAAATTTTTTTGCGGTCGTATAAAAACGATATTAAACTTTCTTTGATTCAAATTCGAAGTTCTGACATAAACTGTTAAATTGGCAGTGCATCATTCGAAGTGTGCAACATCAGCGTACTTATATCTGCTTAGACTCTTTATTTGTGCAAAATAACGTTGTAAAAAACTTTACTTTCGTTTTTCAATCTAAACCTGATGTTATCTTGACAATGGTAAAACATGGACCAGAGATGGATACGTAAATTCCCTGTACGTTTACAAAGCATGAATGAGTGTAAGTAGCTCTTTCTACGTTATTTCTTCAAGAAAATATTCAAAATAAACGTGAGATAAAGGTATCAATGACAATTTAAGCATTTTTTGAAGGAATTAGGATGCATAATTAAATTTCACACCTGCACACATGCGCACACGTGTACTAGTTCAAACAGAGACATGCCTCTGGTTCAAACAACGTGGTTATGACGATTTTTCATTTTCACCTTTTTAATTTTTTCATCAAATCATATTTGTAAACGTATTTCTGATAATTTAAATCTTTTTGACTAAATTAATTAGATGCAAACCGCTGAAATGTAAGAAAATAACTTTGAATAGACCGATCAATGTCCGGTTCAAAAAAGTTTACCTGTCACCTGAACAGGTAAATTTCAGCTGTTCGACAACTAATTAGCCTTGATTAAAATGAGAAGGTATTAAAGTAGGGGTTGTTTTGATAGTACTTAATGATCATGTCACTTTTATGACCGGAAATGTGTGGCTGTTAAAGGCAAAAGGTTGGGTCAAAAAGATCGCGAATTATGTTAAAATGACCTTCTCTTAAGCCTTGAAAACTAAAAAGTAGATGTCCGTTTCATGCTTTGCCCAGCCGGACTTTTACCGGACATTATACAAATGTCCGGAATATATGACCATTTTGGAAGCCTTGTTTGGGACGCACGAAATAACCTATACAACTAAATTTCCTTTGAATCTTTGTCACAACATAATATTAAACAACAGAAATCTTGACCTGCAAAACTAGCAAATATACCTTTAATACTGCTACTCCATTAGACAACTTGGCAAGTCTTTCATTAAACTTTTCCTTTTCATACTCTGAAGTGGACATTTCAATTTCATCTTTGATCTGGTTCATTCTTTTTTCTATATCTTGTGGATCTCCTTTACCCTGTAAAATGCAGAATATTTAATAATCAAGTAAACAACTTCTATAAAATATACTTAAAAGCACCAATTGCGTAGTTATGATAGTTTCAATAAATATTTAAAATTAAACAGAACAAATTTGAAACTTACAAATTCAAATTGCAAGACTTCCTTAGTTTTTATTATGATCAGGGCTAAGCAACCAAATGGAAACATTTGTCAGTAAAAAGTTAATCTATCTGTTGCAAAAAGTCACATATCTGTAAACAAGGTGTACAGATGAATCCCACAGTACAAGCCAGGACACAATATGAGTTGGTCTATTGGGGAGACATTTTGACTTTATTGGTGCTCAAAAGAAAATTGGCAAAAAAAAAAACATTAAGGCTTTAAGCAGCATGTATCCTTCACCTGCATACAATACAAACAATACAATGAAAGTAGAATATTTTCATAAATTTAGGACAAATACGCAGATAAAACAAGCATTCTGTGAGTATTGCATGGCAATACATAGTCAACTACCGGTTAAAAATTCATTGTAATGGAGCAAACCTACCACTAAATTCTTCAAACAATTTACTTAAGAAAATGACTTGACCGGCAACTTGTCATGATAAAACAATACACCAAATATCAAATCAATATCTTCAAGCATGAAGAAAAAAAGTCTGGAAAACTGATTTGCCGGACTTCGTCGGTAGGGGACCAAAAAGAATACCTCCATGGGACAAAGATGCCCCACCCCCGCTTGTAAATATACGACAAATTTAGCATTTTATTCAATTTTAAAGGGACATAACTCGTGAAAGTGACACCACCCAAATTCAGGCTTGATCTGTGTTTGGTGGTATTGAGCATTGTGTAAAAGTTTCATAACATTTGGTTAAGGCAAAGTAAAGTTAGATTGCTGCAACAACAATTTTTTTCCATTTATAAAGGGAAATAACTCGAGGGTGAAAATGATGCCACCCATTTTCAAACTTGATCTGTGTTTGGTGGTAATAAGCTTTAGCTATAAGTTTCATAACATTTCGTTGATGAAAACTAAAGTTAGTGTGGAAATGGCAAATTCAGCAATTTTTCCATTTATAAAGGGACATAACCCAAGAAGGGTGAAAGTGACACCACCCAAATTTGAACTTAGATCTGTGTTCAGTGGTAATAAGCATTGTGTATAAGTTTCACAACATTTGGTTGAGGTTAACTAAATTTAAAGAACAGAAACTCAATAAGGATGTAGGTACAGACAAAGGTAAAACTTAATGCCCCCTACGCCGTGGTGGGGGCATTAAAAAAGGAAAAATAAATATACATTCAAGGGCAGTAACTCCTGTAAGGGGTCAACCAAACATTTTAGACATGTTGAATTATTTGCACTTCTTATTTCAGATTATTATGGTTTATAGTTTCTATCGACTATATTTTCTGCAGAACCCCCCCCCCCCCCCCCCCCCCAAATGCACGAATTCAAGGTCAATAACTCCTATAAGGGTTCAACTAACAATTTCTCTAGTTTCTCTCTTTACCAAAAACCTCCTAGGTGGTATAGTGCTAGTAAACAGTGCAGAACGTTTTAGGTTCAATACCCAGCAGAGTCAAACCAAAGACTTGAAAATTGATAAATATGCTATATCCCCGCTATGCATGCAGCATAAAGAAGTTGTCTGACAGTTTTGTTCACAATAGACAGTAGGTAGATGTTGACAGTCGAAACATTTCTGCCCACATCAGAATTGCTCTTAAATGTTTTTAAAGAAAATAGATATTTGCACCCCATTTGTTTTTTATTTTTAACCTTGGTGCCCATGTGGGCAAGCATGTGGGATCATGGGAAGCATATATAAAACTAGATACCCCAAGATGATTTTGGTCAAGTTTGGCAAAGAAGTTTCAGTGAAGAAGATTCTTGTAAGTTAATGGACGACAGATGCAAAGTAATTAGTAAAACCTCACATAGCTAAAACTAAGGAAGCATAGGTGACGGAAAATACACATAATTTTCTCTTAGCCTGATATATAAATACAGACTTATCATTGCAACAGTAAAAATTTTTGATTTTAATTATTTATAAAATTGTTTCCAGACCACAAATATATGAATTTACAGAACATCTTTTTTCACCTTTTGAAGACGAGTAAATATTTTTAGTATGACTTTAGGGACAAAAATTTAATGCAAAAGAGTTAAACAGACTAACCTAAGTTACCTTAAAGTTCTTTAATTGAAATTTGTATTTATGCTTAACCTTTCAAACATGTCAGTTATGCAGATTTAGAGCTTTTGGGTGTAAAAAGCTGGTTTTTTTTTTTAAAAAGTTACAACACATTTTTCCAAAAAAAAGTCTGAACATTTATCATGTTTATGAAAGTTTAGGAAATGAATGTTCTAATTTGGTCAAATCAAAATGCAAATTTTGTACTGGTTAAGTCATCATTATGACTGTATGACGTCTAAATTAAAAATTTTGATAATAGAAAGCAAAGTATTGGTTATTGCAATATTATATATCACTATAACAGAAATCAGTTACACAGCTGACATACATCAACACATTTCATGTATACCTTGATCAACAGAGTGTCATCTTTCGTGATTGATACTTCATCAAATCTACCAAAATCATGCATCTGTACATCTTCTATCTTGTACATGTCAGCTTCATCTCCAAACACCTACAAAATATCATAATATCTTGCATGAAAATAGACTAAAAACATAATGTTTTTGACCAAATATTCATGTTTATCTTAACAGAGGCCACATTTTAAATCTTTTTTAAAATACCTACTACACCAGAACAATGACCATAAACCAATCTAGAGTTGTTTTTTTCATGAATGAGTTACACCAGTGACCCGTGGTCAATCGGTATAAACGACGTCATCGAACAATTGGCTCTTACTGTGACAAAATAACATAAGCATTGTAACATAGGAAATTTACAGCAAAGTGCACGAATTCAAAAGGATGTCTTAACCTGCAAAGAGAAGAGGAAGATGTTGCTTGTAAGATACGTACCACACCACCTGAGGCAACAGCCATATCTTTCATAGTGTTCTTCCTGTTATCACCAAATCCTGGTGCCTTTACAGCACAAACCTGTAAACTAACTTTCAATCTGTAAAAGATAAAATTATCATTTTTATTTGAAGATTATTTGGACTTTCTGGTGTTTCTGTGCGATTTGATTTATTTGAATAATAAATAGTGGTTAAAAGGACCTCCAATTCATCATTCATACTGTGATTGGTTAGATTGGCCAATTAGTTACAGAAGTTGATAATTTTCAATATGGTTTCATTTGGAAATTTTCCACCAATACCGCCATAATTGCCACAAAATCAGCATCAATTGAGGGTCATTAAATGATTAATCTCCCTAGTTTCATCACATTTTACTATGTAGTGCCAGAAGAAAAAAATGTTTGAAATTGGCCTAAGAATCAATCAAAGACTAGCTCTTGCGGCCATGACTTTTAAAGGACCTTCTATACATCATTCCTGCAAACTTTTGTTAAAACTGAATAAGTAGTTTCAGGGTAGATGAAAATAGGAAAATTTTATGGACAATGACTGACATCCAAGTCTCATACTTCGCAAATTCATCTAGGAAACACAAAAAGGGGAATTAAACTTTAAAAATATTTTCAATTGCCATTATTTACTTCATTTAAAAAAAACATGAATATAACAGCTATATCTTTACTTTTAAATGTATAATATACTAATTTAAATAAACTGTTGATTTGTTTACTATTGCTTTGTTGTTCTTGATAATCTATCATTGTCATATACAGACAATAGAGCAGACGCACAAGTTATTAATATATGCACCATGTAATCTCCATTATCCTATCAAAGAGAATACAGAGGAATGAGAGATGCAAGACTATTACAGTTCAAATTGAATATTGTTTCCAGGTCTCAGGCATTCAGTGTCAAAGACATTTAACTTTTGGCTAGTACTGATTACTCCCATGATACATTTTTCACATTATTTTAAGTTTGTTAGAATCAAGTACTAATTTTGACACCTGGATATTGATTAAACTAACAATTTTACCTATTCAAGACCATTGCACTGAGAGCTTCACCATCCACATCTTCAGCAATAATTAACAATGGTTTCTTTGCCTGATTAGCCATTTCCAGAGCAGGGATAATAGATTGTATACTGGAGATCTTCTTCTCGCTGAATAACACTAAACAGTCCTGGAATTCACACTTGGCTCCTGAAATCATACAGTACAATTTTATCATGTGAGAATAAAACTGTTGATGCATGTTATCACATCTATTAACAAAAATTTCAAATGGTTTAGGCTTACATAAAAATGGATCATCACAAGCATCAATAAAATTTATAATGCAGGACTTTCCAGTAACCACTCAACAAACTCAATACAGTAAGTTCTTTCACTTTATATCAAAGCAATTCAAGTTATCAGTTTACATATGTATAAACTTTGCTAAGAATTACTCCAAACTATTAAAAAAAAACATTTCTTCTACGCAAACCTGTGATTTATCTGTGTTCAATATTACAGTATATGAATTGAATTAATTCAACTGTGAAATGAACTGAGTAGTATCTGCAGACCAGTTAACAAACTATTGTATCATACTAGCCAGTGTTCACGGTGTTGGTGTATAATGTAAATGTTTACACTTGAAGAAGCAACAATTTACTTTACCTCTAAATCTTAACATTATGATGTTTTATACTTATTGACTATACAGCTTTTTATCAATGTCAGACTTTATTCTCTACCACTAAGGGGAGACCACTAACCAGCCGAGAAACTGTCTTATTAATGTAGCACTCTTGTACATCCAACAAATTACATGAACAAATATGATGGAGTAGAAAAAGTGCAATTAGACTGATCTAAAGACTATCTGTCATGTGACTGACATTTTATAAACTATACATTCATAATATCTAAAATCTTTTGAATGTGACAACTAATTCAGTAGGGTTCATTATCATAAAGGGTAGATAGAATCTGACTGCATCTAGGGTATCATCAGTTCAGAAAATGATCCGGTCAGATTTTTATGAGTCAAGTAATCATAGACTCATTTCAGTGAGAACCTTGACCCTTATAAACTTTCAAATACCTAGTAAATATAAAAGACATGTCAGCTGTAAAAACTTGAACTAAGTCAGGGAAGCATGGCATGCAGGCCTAGATGACCCTTTTCTTTGATGCATGAAATTCACTTAGCATACCAAAATTTACCTCCACGACTGTAGCTCAATGTAGTTTCCTAGGTGTTATTTAAGTAACTGCCTCCTAATAAAATTTACCCAATAGAAAAAGACAGCTCATTCAAAGCATTGCATTGTGATCCTTCACTGCAGTATATGCAAATAAGGCACAAAATTATATAATCATTGCTGTCATTTTCTTTTTTTTAATATCATTATGAAATAATCAAGTCATTTGTGTCCCGATAATTCTTTGAGTCTTTCCATTCATTAAAGTACAACTCAAAGGTTAATTAAAAATAGCAACAAGTCAAATCTAATGATGACATTACAACAATAAAAAAATATCTGTCAGCCTATTTTCTCGATTAAAACAAGGATTTTCATGGATAGTTGGACAATTACAGGACTTTTTAGGCCTTGATCTCTTCCTTTTCATTTAAAGTACATTCAAGGATTTCAAGGAGCCATACAAAACCTGTATTCAATTTCTTATTGATCAATCATCCAAATTCTCAATATTCTTTTTAATGTACAATTATCCATTTAAACATTTTACTGATATAAAATTAAATGATTTGTATATATAATATGTATTTAAAACTGATTGCTCATTCAAAGCATTGCATTGTGAACCGTCATTGCAATATATATGCAAATAAGGCACAAAATAATATAATCATTGTCATCAGTGACTGTTGCAGATTCATTTTTACATATTGCAATCGAAAGTTTAAAAATCTGTAATGATCAATAACATCTACGAGTTTGGTACAGACAACACATGTTTCTATAATGTGTGAACTCTGACCCATAAAAACCTTATAAATGACTATAAATCAAAAAGTATTCAAGACATAGTCAGATGTATAATGTAAATGTCAATGAAGCGTGGAAAGTAGGTCTGGTAGACCGTTTTTTTCTTAGTTCCCACATTAAACTTGCCTACATGACAATGACTTATTAAATTACAAGATTTAGAAAAGTGCAGATAATTTTGCCTGTTTTTGTATATCTTAAATTGTTCTCAAGACCAGACAGCCATCAAACACATTTTTGAAGCCAGGTAATACCAGATTGATTGTTGTGTCTGGAAATTTTGGTGTTTAGGGCAAATAGGTACATCTTGACACCCTGAACATTTTTATCCAGTCAGATTTCCTGTTACTTGGTTTTCAAGATTTTAGACAATTACTTGCATTTTCCCCTTTATGTTCTCTGTTTAAGTAATTGTGAGCTAAAAATGACAACTCATTCAAAGCATTGCATTGTGGTCCTTCATTGCAGTATGCAAATAAGGCACAAAATTATATAATCATTGCTGCCATTGTTTTTCTTTTATTATTATTCTTTTAGCAATTAGACAATTACAGGCATTTTACAACTCATGTTATATTTTAGTAACAAATTTAAAACTAGACTCTCTAAGAATCAATATGGTTTCAATTGGTAATATGATCTCAGAAGAGAAGATTTTAAAAGAATTTACAGACATAAAGATGAAGCGTGAAACAAAGTGATGGCAATATTCAAAGCATTGCATTGTGATCCTTCACTGCAGTATATGCAAATAAGGCACAAAATTATATAATCATTGCTGTCATTGCTTTTCTTTTCTTTTTTTATTATTATTCTTTTAGCACAAAATGAGCCTCTGATTTGTAACTTCTGGTAATCATTTAGCCTCTACATTCATAGAGGAATATCAATATCTCAATAGGGCAGCTGATTATTTAGGTGTTAAAGAAAAGCAGGTTCATCTTGACATCCAAACAATTCTTAACCAGACAGACTTTCTCTGTCGCTTAAGGTTTTCAAGGTATTAGACAATTACAGGCATTTTACAACTCATGTTCTATTTTAGTAACAAATTTTAAACTAGACTCTCTAAGAATCACCATGACCAAGTATGGTTTCAATTGGTAATATGGTCTCAGAAGAGAAGATTTTAAAAGAATTTATAGACTTAAAGATGAAGCGTGAAACAAAGTGATGGCAATGGCTCAAACAGCCCCCTTTGGCGAGATGGGCTAAAAATGACAACTCATTCAAAGCATTGCATTGTGATCCTTCACTGCAGTATATGCAAATAAGGCACAAAATTATATAATCATTGCTGCCATTGTTTTTCTTTTTTTTTAATTATTTTGGTTAGCCTGTATTCATAGAATATCATGATTTGATTATTGGTGTTTTAACGCCACTTTTAAGCACCGCTTTTGGGCTATTTCGTGGCGGCCAGTTTTTATTGGTGGAGGAAGCCTGAGCACCGGGAGAAAACCACCGACCTTCGAAAGGAAAACTGACAATCCTAGTCAATTAAGATTGGAGTCGAGTGCACCCGCACGAGCGGGGTTCGAACTCACAACCTCAGTGTTGACTGGCTAGTGATTACAGTAGTAACTACTTAGACCACTCGGCCACCGAGGCCCCTTAGAATATCATGTGCTAATAAATTAATGGTTCAATGGTTAAATTACAATAATTTGAAGTCAAATAGGAAAGTTATTTGAGAAATTGGATCCTCAATGCAATCCAGGTCTAAATATCTACTAATGTTCCATCCCGCTTGTGATATGCCCAGAACATTGTTCATTCAAAAGTTATAACTGGATAGAAGAAAGTATTATGTAAATATTGTTTATAGAAATATTCAGAAGAATCGGAGGAAGCATCAATGAATTCTTGTGGAGAAATACTTATTTTTTGAATGAATAAAGTTTAAGCAATTTCAAAGAGGTAGAAAATAAATGTTTTTCATAATGTGAGCATTTACTGAATAATCAATACAACAGCTATAATTTTATTGATCTTACAGAAGACATACAGTTATTAATCTGATGCATATGGAAAACCTTCAGTAAATAATTAAACTACATGTATTCTCATAAATCAAGGTTTTTTTTCTATGCAGAAATACCTTTCTCACTTATAATTATTTGACAAGCTGTCAATGTAACCATGCTGATTTAAAATGCAAATGTAACATATCCTCTTTTATGAATGTAAATCAAATTCAATTCTCTGATTATGCAATTTGAAAAAAAAATATTATTTTATTCTACATGTAACTGTTGTAACAAGAATACACTAAAATTTTCAACTTTCAAATTTTGTCAAATCAAGTGTAGCTATACATTTATCAACCCTAAGTTGTTATTCTAATTGAAAAAAAGCAGCCAGCAGTATTTCAATAGTGTAGCAATACATTTGCCATCAAACAGCTGTTATCAGCCAGCAGTATTTCTGAATTTTCAAGGATTTTTTTTAGCAATTCAATTTCTTTCAAGACATTAGCTCTTTATATTTCATTTTCAAGGATTCCAAGGACCCATACATACCCTGCATTCAATTTCATAATTATCAATAATCGTAATTCAATATTTTATTTAAAAATTCACTAATCAATTTATACATTTGGTTGTTGAAAAATTAATAAGGATTTGTATACATATAAATTATTTAAAAGCTGATGGCTCATTCAAAGCATTGCATTGTGGTCCTTCATTGCAATATGCAAATAAGGCACAAAATAATATAATCATTGTCATCAGTTATAGTTGCAGATACAAATGCAAACACAGCTAAACTATTTTCAATAGCTGATATTTTTTTTAAATAAGCTAAAACATCTAAACTGAAATAATCTCCATGGAAATGAAATGTGTCAGTGCTAATAATCTGTATACCAAATTTCATTGACCTACCACTAGTGGTACCCCTCAAACTGACATAATCACAAACTAATACATTGCTGAAGTCGCTGCTGGAAACAGCACACCTAAGTCTCGTTTTTTATTACTTTCTCAAGATAAAAATATAAGCCCTTGTAACACTTATATATTTTACCTATGGTTTTAAGCTGACTTTTAATTTTGAAGAATATTTATTATATTTCAAGAAAGGTCTGATTTCTCACATTCTACTGGGGTACTTGTTCCTTCTGCAATTTTTAACAAGAATAAAGCAATATGTTTTATAATTATATACAAAATATACTACAGATATCCAATTATGACTTATTTAATCTATAAATGAAAGACCCTACTGAATATGTAGGTATCCCCTGAATATTTAGGGGATTAAGATAGACACAGAAATGTAAAATGTATGATGAGGTTGTAATTAAAGGTTACTCTTCTGTTAAATTGGTCAGCTTTTATGATAATTGAATCCATCCAGGGTTTTGATATGAGTAAACCTTCGTTCCCAATAAAATAAAGCAAAATAACAAGAAACAAAATGTCACCATAGTACACGGATGCCCCACTCACACTATCATTTTCTATGTTCAGTGGACCGTGAAATTGGGGTCAAAACTCTAATTTTGCATTAAAATTAGAAAGATCATATCATACGGAACATGTGTACTAAGTTTCAAGTTGATTGGACTTCAACTTAATCAAAAACTATTTTGACCAAAAACTTTAACCTGAAGCGGGACAGACGGACGGACAGATGCACAGACCGAAAAACATAATGCCCCTAGCTGGGGCATAAAAAAGGTGCAATCTGCAATATGCATTAAAGGAATGGATAAAAAGATATTACCGGTACACAATTTGTTATGTGCAGTGTACTGCCAACTTTTACATCAATAAGATAAATCTTAATACAATTAAATAAGTATAATTGCATATTAAACTGTTACATCAGACATATACAGACTGATCACAAAATCAGCCTTATTACAATAGACTGGTGTGGTTACTATTGCACCTATATTGTTCCAGCCAATGTACAACAACAATGGACGGCGTAGGTCGGTGCTGGGAAATTTTTAACTAAAAAAGAACTTTTTAATAGTGACTTAATAAATTTACCAAGTAACAAGTGACCATTAAAAGCTAAGACATGAACATAATGACAGCTGACCTTTAGCAGTGTTCATGAAGTATGGAGAGATATATCCCCTGTCAAATTTCATTCCTTCAATGGTCTCCAACTCATCTTTTAATGTCTTTCCATCCTAGAATGACAAAAATTTATACCATTTTTTTTTTAAATTCTTTTCGAAATGCAATATGAGATGTAAAATGCATATATGTGTGTTTCTCATATTCTTCTATATTAATTTCTGTCGCAAATTGTTAAGAGAGGAGAACGTGTTTATCATAAGAAAAAGAGGTTGCTTATTATAATTTGTTTGATATTAGTCCCAAGATTTTTACTCATCAAGGATACATAGTTTAGGAGAGAGAGATCTATAAAGATTTTCAAATATTTTTTGATGTATCCTTAAGTGGGTGTAAGGACGGTATAATCTATTTCCTCCAATTTTTCAATTATTTTTTTTACACTGCTCAGGTAGAGAATTTACAAGAAAAGCACACACAAGTTTAATAGTGTGAGACTTCTTTTAATCCATCTGTATGTCTGTGTGAATTAAACATCTAAATAAAAGAGATGGATCTCACTTTCTGTTCAAAAGCTTTAAGGTAGTTATAGAAAGAGACGGTAACCAAGATGAGTTAATACTGAACCTACTTTCACTTTAACCATATATGTTGGCCATATCCATGTTTAGTATGCAAACAGCTATAGCTATAGTTTGCTGATAGTGGGTAGGTTAATTCACTCCCTATTGCAAATGTATTGATAATTTTTAATTGGAAACGATTACATCTACATATATATATATAGTGCATTTATGAAATGACACTTAATACTTGCATCTTCTTTTTAACCATAAGAAGCCATAATTGGCAAAAAAAAAATGTGTTTCGAAAAAAGAATGTTGTGTTACTTAGTTGTTTTATGAGACAGATCCGTCGTTAAGAGGGTTTATCGCTATTGTATTCCGATGTATAATTTGGGCATTCAAGCTATATTAAAAATAAGTCAACTTTTGTTTGTACTTCATTAGAGACTTACTTTGACTGTTATGACTCCATCACGACCCACTTTTTTCATGGCATCAGATATTAGGGAACCAACAGTCTTATCACCATTGGCTGAAATTGTGGCTACCTGCAAGATAAGAAATGCAGATGAAAGAATAACTATTTTTCATTTAAGTCTTGAACTGAATTATGTGTTGAAACTTTATGTACATAATTTGATTATTTTCGTGTTACATCTTATCTACCATAGGTAAATATACAGATTTCTATGGAAAAGGAAGATTATAGATGTAATCTATTTAGCTCTCTGTTAGTCCAAGATGTCTACACAATAAACAGCTTGGGTGGAGTAGAGCATTGCATACTAACATTTCTAATCAGCAATAAAGAACATGTTGGCAATTGAAAGTTTGTGAATAACACTCCTAATATTTTATTTCTACCAGTAATAATAGATATGTTCACATTAAGATTAAGAATGTATTTGTAAAAGTCGTAATGATGCTTATGATGATTCAATTATATCATTGCATACATATTTTGTGGATAAAGAAAAGTTGCTGGTTCAGAAACATATAGAATATCAGTTTTACCATTTGCTACTTTTAAATCAGCTATGAACTCTTTAAATGAATACCTAATATCTTTTGAAATAGACAAGTCTATACAGTTTGTCAGGATCTGAGTCGACCAGTGTCTACAACAGCTGCCAAAAATTAAACAGAAACTTTCAGAGCTCTGTAATCAACACCAAATTCTCAAAATGACGATAAAACATTGAGTGTATTTATGATTAACCTTTACTCCTTCAGGCATGATGATTTTTCTTTCTATATGTGTGCAGTTTTATCTAGTCAATACTTCTAATGTTTCTATGTGTGTGGAAACAAATCTCTGCACTTCATATAAATTTTTGGTATTTAAACTAAGTGTGTCCTATCTGTTCCTCACATGATACATTTGTTTTGTAGACCGGCCTAGTTTTCAAGTTCCTTATTCAGTCCAAGAGGGTAGCAATCACCAAGTAGACATTATTTGACATTATATATTCATAAATTTTGGAGAAGGATCAATTTCCCTCTGTTTAGTATTAACTACTTATAGTTGAGCTTTTTGGTTTTGTTCTTAAATGTATTAATGTCTCTAAAACTACCATTTTTCTAGCATTTCTGATTTGCATTTCAGACTGAAACAAATGGAGAATGTGTCCATGGGACACAGATGATGCCCCTGCTTGCATATAACGTTATAAAGGGACAAAATTAGAGAACTGAGTTTATGATAATAAGCATTGTGTATAAGTTTCATAACCTTTGGTTGAGGCAAACTTAAATAAGGGAACGGAAACCAAAAACTCAGCAATTTTTCCATTTGTTAAGGGGCATAACTCTAAAACGATTAAAGTGACGCCACCCAAATTTAAACTTAATCTGTCTTTTGTAGAAATAAACATTGTGTATAAGTTTCATAACATTTGGTTTGGCAACTAAAGTTAGACAAGAGTGCACACGCTGAAATGTCTCGCCTTCTTTACTAATCATTGATATTATGCTGATAGTCCTAAATATAAAGCTTTATTACAACTGTCACATAAACTTAACATTAACCAAGAAAACTAAACATGGACCAATGAACCAGGAAAATGAGGTCAAGGTCAGATGAACCATGCTAGGCAGGCATGTACAGCTAACAATTCTTCCATACAACAAATATAGTTGACCTATTACTTATAGTTTAAGAAAAACAGACCAAAACACAAAACTTAAAACTGAGCAATGAACCTTGAAAATGAGGTCAAGGTAAAAAAAAACCTGCATGACTGACAAATAGATCATAAAATATTTCCATACACCAAATATAGTTGAACTATTGCATATAGTATTAGAAAAAAAGACCAAAACTCAAAAACTTAACTTCATCAGAAGGGATTGACAAATATGGCCATTTTTTTTTTATTTCCTCTTCAGTACAGACAAACCTGTGCACAAGGAAAAGTTTTAAGGCATTGCAGAAACTGGATAAATATTTGTCAATTCCTTGAGATGAACCTGAAAGACCCCCCCACCCCCCAAAAAAAAAACAAAAAAAAAAACTAAAATTATCTTCAATCTTTGATCAAAATATTGTAAAAAGTCATATTTTCATATTATCTATTTATCTATTTATGTTGCTATGCTAAATTTTGTTTACTTATCATCGCAATACTTATCTTATTTCATATGTATCCAAAATCAGTAAATGTGATTCTGTTGTGCAAACAAAATTTCAAAAGTTCTTCAATCTGGACATATTCAGCCAATTAATCTTTATGAAGGGACTGGAGTGAACTGTATTCTATGTTAAACATTCATGCATGAGTGACCTTATTTTAACATTTTCACACCTTCCAATGTTTTTGTTAATCACGGTTTAGTATTGATCCCTTAAAAGTTTTTATTATTAATTAGGTCTTTCCACTTTTCTGTGGAAAGACCTATTGTATTTGTTCTGATTATTATTATTATTTTTTTTTTTTTCTTCCGCCTAATTTTGTTCTTGCGATAAATATTTGTTTCGCAATATGTCGCTTAGATATTTCTCATATTGTATCGTATAGTTTATGCGCTTTTAAATTTCACCCTGCTAAGACGAACAATTTTCTTTGTAAGAGTTATCTCCCTATTCACTGTTTATCAAGTGTGTGCATCTCCTTCGTAACAAAAGAAGATATCGACAAAATTCTTTTTCTAAATTGTTCGTTACATCCTCAGGAATTTTTGGCTAATTTGAATCGAAGCGATTCGATGAAATTTTATAGGAGTTATCTACCTTTACCAAAAAAATTTGTCGGTATGTTTTTTTAACTCATAAACCTTTAACCGTATAACCCTGGAATGTTTTTATTTGAGGCCCCTAGGTCCTAACTTAGAAAATGAAGTCAAGGTCAAAGGTCAAGGTCAAGTTCTAAATTTTGACTTTTCCTTGTTTTTGCATTTTCTCAAACACTTTTAAAGATATATATAAAAGAACAAGTGCAAAATGTTTGCTTTATTGTAATGAAGATATGTTACATTGGTTTGAAACAATCTAATGGCATCTTATAGGAGTTAGTGCCCCTGAAATGTCTAATTATAAGGTTAATTGATTATTACTTCATCTTGATTCATTATAAAGCCATATGACCTTTTACAAAAGGTTTGGTGACATATGACCTTGAAAAATGTCAACCGGAAGTGACCTTGAGAAAACCGGAAGTAGCCTTTTTTGCACTTTTCTCATGGAAAAGTACTCAGAATCGATATATTTTGTAATATAAATACATAAACTTATCACCAAAGTCCAGAAGTGACTTTCGATAAACCGGAAGTGGCCAATTATCTTCTGTTTTACATGCAAAAGTATATAGAAACTATATATTTTTGGAATCAGTGTAAAAGAAGCTATCAAATGAGACCGGAAGTGGCGTTTAATTCACCGGAAGTAGCACATTATCTCCCTTATTTCACTCAAAAGTATATAGAAACCATTCATTTATCGCATCAGTTTGAAGAAACTTATGATTGGATACCAATTTTAACTTTGAGTAAACCGGAACTAGCTTCTTTTCAATAACTTTGAAAATTGATGTGGAAAGACCTTCAATTGTTCTCTGAACAATTGGTTTTTAATTATCATTATTAATGTTATTTAAAGATTTTTATAAAATAATCTATTTCAATGTAAGTAATCAGCAGTTAAATAATAAAATACATTCCATACACCAAATATAGTTGACCTATTACTTATAGCATCTGAGAAGAAGGCCAAACAACAGAAACTTAACATTGACCAATGAACCATGAAAATAAGCTCAAGGTCAGATGAAACCTGTCAGACAGACGTGCACACCTTACAATCATTCCATACACCACATATAGTTGACCTATTGCTTATAGTATTAGAAAAACAGACCAAAACACAAAAACTTAACATTGACCAATGAACCATGAAAATGAGGTCAAGGACAAATGACACCTGCCAGTCAGACATGTACACCTTACAATCATTCCATACACCAAATATAGTTGACCTATTGCTTATAGTATTAGAAAAACAGACCAAAACACAAAAACTTAACATTGACCAATGAACCATGAAAATGAGGTCAAGGACAAATGACACCTGCCAGTCAGACATGTACACCTTACAATCATTCCATACACCAAATATAGTTGACCTATTGCTTATAGTATTAGAAAAACAGACAAAACACAACAAGAGTGCACACGCTGAAATGTCTCGCCTTCTTTACTAATCATTGATATTATGTTGATAGTCCTAAATATAAAGCTTTATTACAACTGTCACATAAACTTAACATTAACCAAGTAAACTAAACATTGACCAATGAACCATGAAAATGAGGTCAAGGTCAGATGAACCATGCTAGGCAGGCATGTACAGCTAACAATTCTTCCATACAACAAATATAGTTGACCTATTGCTTATAGTTTAAGAAAAACAGACGAAAACACAAAAACTTAACACTGAGCAATGAACCTTGAAAATGAGGTCAAGGTCAAATAAAACCTGCGTGACTGACATATAGATCATAAAATATTTCCATACACCAAATATAGTTGAACTATTGCATATAGTATTAGAAAAAAAGACCAAAACTCAAAAACTTAACTTTGACCACTGAACCATGAAAATGAGGTCAAGGTAAGATGACACCTGCCAGCTAGACATGTACACATTACAATCATTCCATACACCAAATATAGCTGACCTATTGCATGCAGTATTAGAAAAAAAGACCAAAACTCAAAAACTTAACTTTGACCACTGAACCATGAAAATGAGGTCAAGGTCAGATGACACCTGCCAGCTAGACATGTACACCTTACAATCCTTCCATACACCAAATATAGTAGACCTATTGCATACAGTATAAGAAAAACAGACCAAAACACAAAAACTTAACTATAACCACTGAACCATGAAAATGAGGTCAAGGTCAGATGACACCTGCCAGTTGGACATGTACACCTTACAGTCCTTCCATACACCGAATATACTAGACCTATTGCTTATAGTATCTGAGATATGGACTTGACCACCAAAACTTAACCTTGTTCACTGATCCATGAAATGAGGTCGAGGTCA